CCCGCGAGGAGTGTTAGACATTTTTTCCTCACCTTGGGCGTTTTAAAAATATGTGCTTTCAACCCCCCAGTTCCCCCCACCCAGCCATGGGGGTTGGGAATTCTGGGAGTTGAAGTCCACATACCTGAAAGTTGCCAAGGTTAAGAAACACTGGGTTAGAGCGTAACTCATCTGGCCATGAATTCTGAGAGCTCTAGAGGGCACCAGGTTGGGAAGAAAGGTGTGGTGAGGCCACCCTGGGTGGAAAGGGCAAGCAAGCAATCTTGCCTCTTCCCTACTTCACTCCTAACAACTTCGGATGCCAAGTTAAGAAGCAGCAGGGGACCTTGGGGTTGTTTCTGGTGCAAGCCTGGCCAGCTAGCAACCCAAAAAGCCACCAGCCCCGACTGGAGCTTCCTGTAATCAAGCTCTGGTGGCAAAATGGATGCTGTCTGTTTGCTGGCCACTGGTCAGGAAGGCACTGAAGGTTACAACCTAGAGTAAATGGGGTGGGGGGAGGAGGGGAGAGAGAGAAGGAGAAAGGCAGTAGCAGTTATCTCAGGGCCACATAATCCCATGCTCAGGAAAGCCTACTCAACTACAGAGCTGCTTGGCAGCCCTTTTAACAGGAGGTTTTAAGGACCTCCTTAAAAAATTGAACAAACAACTGTGTACATTCTGCATTTTCTCCCCACTGGCCAAGTGAGGGGAGTATTTCTGAGTTTTGGGGTTACTTTCTAGCCGTTCTCCTGTTTACATAGCAGCCTGAGGTCAAGGGTGTGGATTTGTCCGACTCCTAGGCCACCACACCAAGAAGGACTTCATGCCCTTACATCTCCTGGAATATCAGGCCACTCTTAAAAGCGGAGGAGTGGCTGGGCCAAGCGAGAGAGCAGGTAAGGTGGAAACAGGAGTCAAAAGTGGCCAGTGCGTGCCCCCACAGGGGAACGGCGATGCCCAACTGTGGATCAGGAAGGCTTTGATGCCTGGTGTTGCCACTGCAGCAGGGGAAGCAGACTCCTTTGGAAGGGGGTAAACTCCCAGTGCATCACTATTAGGCAGCCCACTAGGGCCCGGATCCCACCCTGCAATGATCCCATTGGGGCACTGCCCCTGAGCTGGAAGGCCCGATGCCATGGTACAGAAACCCACCTCAAGAAAACAGCCCAAGTTAGGTTTGGCCGTGCCCCCCACCCTCCACCCCCCGCAAAGCCCCGACGGTTCTAGCTGGAAGAGAAACAAGCCGTCCTGGATTCTTCCTGCTCCTCCTGCTCTCTCTGGCCATCTAAGCTAAGCTTCTCACTCCTTCCTTCCTCAGCGCCGGGCAGCACGTCGCCTTCTCCGAACAGGAACGCAAGCAATCCCTCCTGATCTGTGCTGTCATCCTCTCTAAGCCCTGCCTCGCTTTCACCTGAGAAAATGCAATAGGGGAGCCGTCAGGAGGGAGGGGAAAGGAGACGGAGGCAGAACAGACTCAGAGCTCCCGCTTGGGCAGGGCCTGCTGGGGCCCCGCGTTAGATGCCACGCTCATCAGGGTGGTTTCATAGAGTATCTGGATGGCTCTCCTCAGGGGCAGGGATGGGCATGCATGGAAATTCACGGGAAGGAGAGGGTATCCAGTGCTTTGGTTTGGCAGAGGGGTGTTGCTTTTAAAAGCAGTACGTTTCTAGACGTTGTGCCCACTCTGTCTGTGAGCAATGCCAAAGGAGGTGCCAGGAGCTGGAAGATAAGGACTACAGAGACGAGGTGTGTGCCTGCAAGTCAATGTTCTGCAGAGCTCCTCACCTGCCCAGAGGTAGCCAAAACTGTGTTATGAAGAGTCATGATGGCAACCTCTAATAATATAATGGATGCCTTTTTCCAGATCCAATATGGTACGTCACCCAAAATGGAAGTACGTAAATCTGCCCACTGTTTTTTTTCTTGGTGAAGACCTGGATTGTTATGGGTATTTTATTTTAAAACACAGAACACACATTAGGTAGTACTAGACCATTTAAACCACAAAACATAGGTGTCAAAACGTATTTTGAAATGCTCAAAGTCAAGTAAGTTCTTCTCTTCTTCTGCAACTTACAGAAAACACTGAACTCCTTAAGTTGGCTGCTAATTTCACGTCTAGAATTTACCTTCCTCTTGCATGCATTTTTTTCCAATCCCCCCCGCCCCCGCCCTTCTCTCTCTCTCTTTTAGCAAAGAAGAGCTTGGCTGCCATTAGCAATTGTGGCAAACAAGAGGAGCAATTTTCAGTGGGATGGAAAAGTAATCTTAATGGGAGAATCAAAAATCTTCTGAATGTAGTATGAACCCAGCTATTTTAAGAGCTGGCCTCAAAAATAAACTTCAAATGGGATGGAGGAGGAAGGAGCTTCAAAAATCTGTTGGGGCTTAAAGAAATGAAGCAATGGAAGAAACTTCACAGCCCTTCTAGTTCAGGCCTCTCTAATCTTATGTCCTCCAAATGGGCTGATACGGCAAATTGGAGAATTCCCCTGCATCTTGCAGACTTGGACACCAAAGTCCAAACACATCTGGATGATACCAGATGAGAAGCCTCATTCAAATCCAACCTCTCCCATCTCCATCTCAGACAGAGAATCCAGTGATAATGAAACCTGTCACCCAAAGGGCTGCCCAGCCTAAAATCCCTGCAACCAAGGGAGAGTTTGTTTCTCCTTGCCCCCCATGTCAAACTGTTTGTGCTTCCAGTATAGCTTTCCTAACGCTCAACCAAAATCTTTCCTCTTGTTAACTTAGATGTAACAGATGTAGTCTCTCTTTCTGCAAAGAAGCAGTTCTGCATAAACAAACCCCAAGTTCAAGGCAAAAAAGCACCATCAGTTCACACTGAATTGCAGAGTATTCATCACCAAGGTCTTGAGTAATGAAGGCATGCATTAAAATACTGATCTGGAACCATTTTTGTTTCTTTCACAATTCCCAAGCAACACACCCAACAGCATCTATGCAAAAAGGCCAGAGAAGTAAATGAACTCACTCTCACCCCTGCCCAATTTTTTTTGCCTTCCTTTTCTTGCCATCATGTCAAAGGAGGGAAAGGACATGCAGACGAAGCCTGATCCAGAAGTGGCTTCCCCTGAGCTACTTTTGGAACCCTGTTCAGCCAGGAATCCGTTGGATCCTGAATGGACAACTGGCTTCCTCAAATGCTCTGCAGCTGTGAGCAACCCCTTCTGACTGATTTCAGAGAGCTACTTAGATGGAGATGGATCTACAGTCTCCATTTTAAAAATGCAAAGGAACTCAGACTGAACAGGCTGATACGGCTGTACACAAAGTGGATTCTTCCTCAGAGGAAGCCTCAGGGGCAGAGGGGATCCAAAGAAGAAACCATCAACCACCACCAAAGGATGCAAACTAGAGAAGCCACCAAGCTTGCTCTATTCTTGATGCTCCCCAAGACCACTGTCCCTGGCTCTCTTCCAACAACAGCTGTATTCCTTACCTGGCATTGTGAAGTCCTGAGTGTAAATGATCTCGTCCTCCAAGTAGTCATCTTTTAAGTCATCCTCCTCTTCCTCCTCATTGTAGCCATGGAGGTCTTCCAGGTAAGGCACCACCGTCATGCTTCTCCACCGATCCTTTGTCTCTGGGCTGGGTGGGATGGCAATGGGAGGCTCACACTGCGTGTGCTTTTTCCGAAACCAGCTAAAGGAAACCAAGATTTCAGGATGGGAGATTTCACACTGGTCTTCTGTAGGCCAGTGTTTCTCAATCTTGGCAACTTTAAGATGTGTGGGCTTCAATTCCCAGAATTCCCCCGCCCACCACGCTGGCTGGGGGGATTTGGGGATTTGAGCCCACCCAATCTAAAATTTCCCACAGTGAAAAAAACTTGGCC